TCCTCAGGTTGCTGTCTCCACAAGTGTGAAGACTCCTAAGGGTCAGCAGCTGGGCTTTATTCTTCATGTCTGTGCATCATCCCCTTCCTGCCTGAGCCCCTGTGGAACTAAATTATGAATTATGCTTCTCCATCTAGGGATAATTTATTATACAATATGTCACTAAGGAATAAGTGCCTTAAAATACTTTTTCAACTAAAAATTGAGTACCTAGACTTACATAAAATATAAAAGGGACCACTATAACTATGCCACATAACACAATTCACAAAATATACTCTAAATTTTCTCACAAAAACATATATCACAAGGATGACAGTTTGCCTACATTGCTTACCAAACCAAGCAAATTCTTTCTTCTCTCTTTTTAAAACATTTATTTATTTATTGGTATTGAGGTATAATTGACGTAAGACATATTAGTTTCAGGTGTACAACATAATGATTCAGTATTTGTATACATTATGAAATGAGCACCACAATAAGTCTAATTCATATCCCTTACCACACATAGTTATAGAATTTTGTGTGTGTGTGGTAAGGACTTTTGAGATTTACTCCCTTAGGAATTTTGAAATATGTATTACAGTATTAACTCTAGTCATCATGCTGTACATTACATCCCATGATTTATTTATTTTATAACTGGAAGTTTGTACCTTTTGACCCCCATAGCCATTTCACCCCCACCACCCTGCCGTTTGGCAACCACTAATCTGTGCTCTGTATCTATGAGCTTGTTTTTTGCTTAATTTTGCTTGTTTTGTTTTTTAGATTCTACATATAAGTGAGATCATAAGTATTTGTCTTTCTCTGTCTCACTTATTTCACTTAACATAATGCCCTCAAAGACCATCCATGTTGTCACAAATGGCAAGATCCATTCTTTTTTATGGCTGAATAATATTCCATTGTTTATATCTACCACATCTTCTTTATCCATTCATCCATGGATAGACACAAGTTGTTTCCACATCTTGGTTATTATGAATAATGTGGCAGTAAACATAGGGCTGCATATATCTTTTCAAAATTAGTGTTTTCATTTTCTTTGGATAAATACCCAGAAGTGGAATTGCTAGGTCATATGGTAATTCTATTTTTAATTTTTTGAGGAACTTCCATACTGTTTTCCACAGTAGCCACACCAATTTACATTCCCACCAGCAGTGCACAGGGTTCCTTTTTCTCTGCATTGTTGCCAATACCTATTGTTTCTTGTCTTTTTGATATCAGCCATTCTGACAGGTGGGAGGTGATATTTCATCATGGTTTTGATTTGCATTTCCCTGATCATGAGTTCTTCCTCTCTTTTGGCTTCTCTTTTTATCCATGCCTCTCAGGGGATTTTACTTACATGTCTTAAAAAAGATGTTATTATTTATAGGAAACAAGAATTGTCCTTGTCTTCATTCTGTTTCTCATTCTTTTTTGTCATATGCTGATCTTGTCTGGCTTTGGCTTTTGGTTGGATGTTTCCTCAGAGGTGCAGTTTTCTTTTAGGATGCTGGGTTCCTCTTTCCCAGCGCTCGTTATCATCCTGGTTTTTAAAGCCTTTGGGACAAAGTTTAATTTTTTAATAAAATGATATTTTCCCAAATATGATAGTGTTTTTGTAAAGGCAACAATAGGGATAGGAGCAGCTCTGGCCTGGGCATGTACATGTATTTCTCCATGTACAGAAGCTTCTGTGTTCATGTTTATTGCCTATGTGCTTGTGCTTTAGAGCTGCCTGCCCATAGAAAATTAGCCTTGATATAGAACACAGGTCACAGGAATGAGCTACATAAATGAGATAAATAAAATGTATAAAGTGGCATAGAGTAAATAAGGAAAATGGGTAACAGGCAATAAAAGTAAATACACTTTCAGTAAATAATGTTCTACTCCTAGAACATTACAAATACCCATCACCCCACCCCTAGATATAACTACTACTACTATTTGTCATGTTTCCTTCAAGGAATTTTATATTCATATACCTATACATGTCAGTTATATTTAACCTCCTTATCCATTGGCCTAACATGGGGCAATGAGATTGCTATATTTTCCTGTAAATAATTTTATAAAGAACATTTTTGTGCATGAATTCTCTGTTCAAATTTTTTGGATTGTTTTCTTAGAATCCATCCAAAAAATTGTAATTACTGGGTCAGAAGGTGAAAGCATTTGTAGGATTTTACCTTCCTGAAGGGCTGTTTAAATCTCTACTCCTACAGATATTGAGAAACATGTTTTCTTAATTGGAATTTCTTTGATTACATGAACATTATTCATATGTTAATTAGTCATTTAAGTTTCTTCTTTGGTATTTTTATATTCATGCCCCTTTTATATGGAAGTCTTATGATTTTAATTACTATCTGTATGGCCTCCTTAATTACCAAGTATATTAACATGTTGTAGTTTTGTAACAAGTATTTGCTGCAAATATTTCCCCCAGCTTCTTTGTTTTTTAAATTTATGAATGCTTGATCTTCATGTTTTAAAGTTTTATGTCCTGAAATCCTTGTATAATTATATTCAGAGTTTCTGCCATCCTTTTTAAGTTTAAAAAGTCCTCCTTTTCTAGTGATCAAAAAGATGTTAGTCTACTTTCTTCTATACGGCTTGAGTTTTTACATGCTGGAGCATAGTGGTTAACAAGGTGGATTACTTATAGTTGATTACTGGCTCCAACATTTGGTCACCAAATGGCCTTGGTTAACCTCTTCCAACCTTAGTTCCCTCAACTATAAAGTGAGGGTGATTACAGGACCATCACAAGGTGGTGTCGTAAGGACCAAGGACAAGAACTTCTGTAAAGTATTTTTAACAGGGCTTAGCACATACTAATACTCAGTAAGTGGTAATTATTATCAATATTATTATTGATATATAGTAAAAGATAAGACTTTAACATGCTTTTTTCCCCAGATGGCTAAATAGCACTATTTTTTCTTTCCCCATTATACTCAAAGTGATTTCAGTCTATATTACATTCTCATACACTATAACACCTATTTCCGGCTTTCCCATTTATTTCTCAGTATATTTATAATGTATGTGCCACACTATTTTTTTTGTTTTTAGGCTGGGGAGGAGGGAACAGAGGGAGGGGCAGAGGGAGAGGGAGAGAGAGAATCCCAAGCAGGCTTCACACCCAAAGTGGAGCCCAATGCAGGGCTTGATCCCTCGACCCTGAGATCATGACCTGAGCCAAAATCAAGAGTCAGACGCTTAACTGACTGATCCACCCAGGCGCCCATGTGTCATACTGTTTTAAATACCGTAGCTTTACAACATTTAACACTATTATATAGGAAGAGTATGCATGTAGGAAACATAATTCTTTTTTAAACTATCATGATTATTTTCTTATTTCTTTTCCCCACAGGGATTTTAGAGTTATATTGTAATTGAAAATTTAATTGGATATTGTAATAAGAATACATAGCTACATCTCTAAATATACGACTTGATAAATACCGGAAACATTTTACACCTATTAGTAATGTCAGAGATATAATTTAAATGCCTTAATTTTTAGATACTACAACACTTTGAATACAAGACGAAATAGTGTTATTGGGATGCTAGCAGTAGGAACAGCAGAGTGAGAATTCATTAGTGAATAAAATCCAGTTTATAAATGCTTACTCAATTTCTTAGGACATGGCCAAGGGTAAAATAGTCTGTTATTTCTTCAAGTGTAAGGGACACAGTGGCCAACTACCCTCTGTAAATGTGTTCATACAGCGGCCCTTAATGTCTGCTGTGATGGAGAAGAAAAGCACCCAGACCTCAGGTTTTCCTGCGAACTACGGAGAATCTGACTAATAAGGGAGAAATGCTCTCTGAGTTTGTGTTTACCACTGCATCGGCAGCATTTTCGTCAGCAGCATCATGACATTTTAAACTACTTAAAGGAATTTTTAGTGTGTTGTAATTTCAGCAATACATTTTTTTGCAATACATTTATTTTTAATAACACTGTTAAACATTTTGTTTTGTGTTTCACAGTTATTCCAGGCATACATTTATAACAAGGGTGCCATGATAATTTTCATTTACTGATGGAATGAGTATTTTTATGTTTTAACAATAACGATTTGGTCCCCCAAAGTAATTGCAGATGATAGATAACAGAATGTCTGTAAAGGCTTAAATGTTCTTTAAGAAAGGGAGTCTTTTATTTCTATGATGATGGCACTCAGTTTCTCTGACAGAATGATTGCCAGTGTGAGAGAGAAAAAATGGAAACCTCTTCTAAATTGTGGTAAATCAATTAAATAGGACATTAAAGAGCATTTGCATAGGATAATATTCAATATAAAGGAACATTATAGACTGTGTTATAAAGTTCCTAACTTCATTCTTTATAGTTACTGCTATGAAAGTTAGGAGGTGCAGAAAATACCATCTAGAAGGACTTCTTTAGAGAAGTTTTGACATCTCTGTTTGAGGAGAATTCCAGAAAGACTTAGAGATACTCGATGGGTTTTTCAGAATCAGATCAAGGAGTGCTTCTGTTGTTGCCCTCTTTTTAAACATTGTGAAACATTTCAGGCATTGAAAGACACATAGAAAAAAATATAACAATATTATATATTCACCACTCAGCTCAAGCGATCAAGTATTATACATATAATTGAATGGTATCTTCTATTTTCTAATGAGAAATCTACCATTGAAAATATAGCATTTGCATGTCCTAAAATCTCCTTTTCCAAGGTTCTTTCCATCCAATATGTGCATTTCTCCTTTGTTGTCATAGGGTGCCAAATGGCTATAACTGGCAAAATGCTCTAGATACGAATTGTCTGAGCTAAAGATGGCTAATGATCAGCAAATGTGTAAAGCGATTCTAAACAGTAGGGTTAGATTGTTGATATTTTAATTCACTTGAAACTAACAATTGTCCTGGGCACCAACTCTCAAGCCTCCTTGACTTCTATTCCTTTTGAGAAAAATGCTTTTCGAAACCTAACAAGAGTGGAGGGAGAGAACCACATTACCTGTCAACACTGAGAGCGCAGAGATTGAGGACGGTGATCCCCACCGAGGACTTTTGCAAAAAGGGGAACAGCTTGCAAAGAAATACGCCAAAGTCATTGTGATCAAAAGGCCAGCGTCCGGCCAGAAGCTGAAAGAAGGAGACACCGTGGTAAGAAACAGCAGAGCTGGCATGGAATACATGGACACTTACATTTCTGATTATCCTCTGAACTTCTAAATTGTATTGTTCATTATGCTTTCCAGTTAGCAGGGCAGCAATACAGCATTATTATCATTTAAAAAAATATTTTAAAGCCTTAGCCATTTTTTTAATCTGGAAAAATGTAAAGAATGATAAATATAATAACAGAAGAGATGAACCTTTGATCTTATGTGAAGTAGTCGTACCACGTACTTTTCATTTTTTTTCTTTCTTTAAATTTTTTTTTATTATGTTCAGTTAGCCACTGTATAGAGTACATCATTAGTTTGTTTTTTTTTTAAAGATTTTTTTATTTATTTATTTGAGAGAG